CCACCGGTACCTACTCCTCAACAACACCATCATCATCCAACACAATACCCACAAACCACCACTTATCACACTCCCCAGCATGCACCACAACCTACTCCCGATCCCCAAAACTCAACCAATGACCACTCTTATGCCCAGATTCCTAGAGTTCATCAAAGCAACCCCATATATGTGGAAATTTTACCCCATACCCCACAACAAACCATATACATACCTAAACCAACCGAGAAAGACCTGATCATTAAGAACATGGCGGAAGAAATCAAAAAGCTCACTAGCAAGGTTCAGAGTGTCGAAGGTGGTAAAGGCATTGAAGGTTTGAACTATGAGGACTTGTGCATTCAGCCAGATGTAGAACTGCCGGAGGGTTATAAACCTCCCAAGTTCAAAATGTTCGATGGAACTGGTGATCCGAAAGTGCATCTAAGAACATTTTGTGACATGTAGGAGTGGGCAAAGATGAACGAATCCGTATGAAGCTGTTCATGAGAAGCCTCACGGGAGATGCTTTGTCGTGGTATATCAAACAGAACCCGAAGAAGTGGGTCAATTGGGTAAGCGTTTTCATGGATAGATTCAGGTTCAACACAGAAAATGCACCAGACGTTTTCTACATTCAAAATCTCAAGAAGAAACCAACAGAAACTTTCTGCGAGTATGCTACTCGGTGGACATCTGAAGCTGCGAAAGTAAGGCCAGCACTTGAAGAAGAACAAATGAATAAGTTCTTCGTTAGAGCCCAAGACCCGTAGTACTATGAAAGGATGATGGTTATTGAAAACCACAAATTCTCCGACATCATCAAGCTGGGAGAAAGAATAGAAGAAGGAATTAAGAGTGGAATGGTGACAAATTTTGAAGCACTGCATGCCACAAATAAGGCCTTGCAATAAGGAGGTATCTCGAAGAAGAAAGAAGTAGGTGTTGTGATGGTAGCCCAGTGTCCTAAGTCTCCTCTCATATACCAAACACCTCCACCCACATACCAGCATTCACCCCTCAGATACCAACAACCTTCTACCATGCCTATAACACCAACCCGTATACTATTACTCATCACCAACCAACCGCCAAAATTACCAAAAACCAAGACCAAACTTCGACCGCAGACCACCCAGATAATACACACCAATTGCTGAACCCATAGACCAACTGTATGAGAGACTAAAGGCTGCTGGTTATGTCACTCTCATTCCTGTTGCTGCTATGGAAACTTTTTCTCAGTGGATTAATCCAAAATAGATGTGTGCCTATCACTCATGCATGAAGGGCTATACCATTGATGAGTGTCGCACGCTGAAAGACAAGATCCAGACATTAATCGACACCAAGGTTATACAGGCAAAAAAAGATGCACCCAACGTTCGTAACAATCCTCTCACGGATCATAGAGGTGAGGGAGTGAATGTGATAGAGACCGACGAAGAATGGGATCCGGAGGGATCAATTGGACTCATCCGAGAGGGAGATGATCCTAAAACATCTCCAGTCACACTCACACCTGTTGTGGTACAAACGCAAGCACCGTTTGAAGTCGAGGTAACTACACCCTTCACTGTGATGGTAGCTCCCATGCCATCTTACAAGTCTGATGCAATACCATGGGATTATGTTGCGGAAGCAAAGAGGAAAGGAAAAGCAAAAATAGAGGAAACAGTTGCAGCACAAGGCATGACTAGAACTGGCGTGGTTTATACACCTGAGCACTTGGGAGGAACAAGCAAAGAAGCTGCATCTAGGCCTTCTGTTGTTGAAACCGGCCCTGATGGCCTTTGGAGGAAAGTACAAGCGAGAGAATACTCTATGGTTGACCATTTGAACAAAACTCCCGCTCAGATATCTATCTTGTCACTGCTACAAAACTCTGAGACACACAGGAATGCCTTGATTAAAGTGTTGAGTGAAGCTTATGTACCCACCAACATCACTAGTGGGGAGATGGCCAACATGGTCGGATAGGTATTGGAAAGCCACAAAATCACCTTTCATGAAGACGGGCTGCCACCAGAAGGACTAAGTCATAATAGGGCACTACATATCACAGTAAAATTTGAGGATAAGTTCATCGCCAGGGTTCAGATAGATGTAGGTTCAAGTCTTAATATATGTCCACTGACTACTCTGAAGAGGTTGGGTAAAGGCCTGCACGAGATACTAGCAGGAAGTATGAATGTGAAGGCGTTTGATGGATCTCAAAGAGCCACAATTGGAGAAATCAACCTTAGCCCAGATGGGCCCAACCTGGTTTGATGTTGAGTTTCAAGTTTTGGATATATCTGCTACCTATAACTTATTGTTGGGGTGACCCTGGATACATGTCGCTGGGGCAGTGGCTTCTACTCTGCATCAGGCTGTGAAGTTTGAATGGAACCATCAGGAGGTAATCATCTATGGAGATGGAAGTAATCCCATCTACACCAATTAGACCGCTCCAGTCATCGAAAATAGAAAGAAGTTAGGAGGAGAAACATACCATCGCATTGAGCGCGTCAATGCAATTGAAAAAGACAAATGGTGGTGCAACAAGATAGAAATCATACTGCTATGGACAGGGTATGAACCTGGCAAAGGTCTCGGTAAAAACCTCCAAGGGATCACCAAACCAGCACAACTGAAGCGTCATGGTACAACTTTCAGGCTTGGGTATGAATACACTCGGCAAGAATACCAAAATTGGTCGCCACCATGGCGTGGTCCTTACTATCCGTTGGAACAACCAGTACCACATTTGCACCAGACATTTCATCAAGCTGACATGATGTGGGGGTCTGAGGAAGACGAAGTCTTAGCTGGCATGAGGAGGCTGTTTCTGGATGATGAAGACATGGATTGCAGTGCGATAGTTTAGGAGGAGGAAGACCTTACCATTCAAATCGTGGAGAAAGGAGTTGTTCTCAAGAATTGGACTGCTGCACCATCCCGGGCCCGTCGTGTTCTTGGGTAGCCTGGCCAATTAGCATCAATTATTTTAAAAAATAGTTTTGAGCATTCAAGACATTTTCAGTATTTGGTTTTGAACTTATTTTGTTTTGAAATAATTGCTCAAGTCATCGAGCCGTACTTGTTGATGTTTTCAAGATTTTATTAATGCATTGCTATTTTTCGTATTTATTATTATTCTTTACATTTTCTCTCTACAGCATTATATTAACTATCCCGATGAACCTACGACTGTGACATGTAATGAGACAATGCAACATAAGGATAGTGATTCGGAGGATCTGGAAGATGATATAATACTTGAGGAAATCGTCAGAGAAGTGGAGAACTTTGAAAACAAACCAAAATCTATTTTGGACGAAACGGGGACAGTCAACTTAGGGGATTCTGAAATGATCAAGGAAACACGCGTAAGCATTCACCTATCACCGTCAGAGAAGGAAGAGTATGTCAGATTCCTAAAAGAGTACGAAGATATCTTTGCATGGTCATACGATGATATGACTGGTTTGAGCACATCCATAGTGTCTCACAAGCTACCTATCAATCCCATGTGTCCACCGGTAAAGCAGAAGCTCGGAAAGTTCAAGCCGGATATGAGTTTGAAGATAAAAGAGGAGGTCACCAAGCAAATTAAAGCCAAGGTTCTCCGAGTGGTTGAATATCCGACTTGGTTGGCCAACATCGTGCCAGTTCCGAAGAAGGATGGGAAATTTAGAGTATGTGTTGATTACAATGATCTAAACAAGGCGAGTCCTAAAGATGATTTCCCATTGTCCAATATGCACATATTGATCGAAAACTGTGCCAAGCATGAACTCCAATCCTTTGTGGATTGCTTTGTGGGATATCATCAAATCTGGATGGATGAAGAGGATGCCGAAAAGACAGCCTGTATCATACCAGGGGGAATGTACTGCTATAAAATGATGCCTTTTGGTTGGAAGAATGCTGGAGCCACCTACATGAGAGCCATGACAACCATTTTCCACAACATGATACACAAGGAAATAGAGGTGTACGTGAATGACATCATCATCAAATCCAAAAGGAGTACAGATCACATAGCAGACTTGAGGAAATTCTTTGATTGGCTTCAAAGGTACAATCTGAAATTGAATCCTACAAAATGTGCCTTCGGAGTCCCTGCTGGAAAATTATTAGGATTCATCGTCAGTCGCAGAGGGATTGAGTTAGACCCGTCAAACGTCAGAGCTATCCAGGACCTGCCACTTCCAAAGAATAAGAAAGATGTGATGAGCTTTTTAGGGCGTCTCAATTACATCATCCGTTTCATAGCACAATCAACCGTGATCTATGAGTCGATCTTCAAGATGCTGAAAAAAGATGCTGCAACAAGCTGGAATGAAGAATGCCAGAAGGCCTTTGACAAAATCAAGGAGTATTTATCTAAACCACTCGTTCTGGTACCACCAGAACCAGGAAGAACTCTGTTGCTTTACTTGTCCGTATTGGACGAGGCTTTCGGTTGTGTTCTCGGACAACATGATGATACTGGAAGAAAGGAACAGGCGATATATTATCTGAGCAAGAAATTCGCACCTTACGAAGCCCGATACTCTTTGCTGGAGCGCACCTGCTGCGCTTTGACATGGAAAAGTTGAGGCATTATTTCTGTGCATACACCACATATCTCATATCAAGGATGTACCCGCTGAAATACATCTTCTAGAAACCCATGCCTACGGGTAAGTTAGCAAAGTGGCAGATATTGCTGAATGAGTTCGACATCGTCTATGTAACTCAGAAGGCAGTCAAAGGGAAAGCGTTGGCAGATCATTTGGCAGAAAATACTGTAGACAGAGAATACGAACCATTGAAAATGTATTTTCCCGATGAGGAGGTATTATTTGTAGGAGAAGATATCACCGAGGCATACGATGGTTGGAGAATGTTCTTTGACGGAGCTGCAAACTTCAAAGAAGTGGGTATCGGAGCTGTCTTAGTATCAGAAACCGGCCAACACTATCTGGTATCCGCAAAACTCAGGTTTCCATGCACCAACAATATGGCAGAATATGAGGCTTGCATCTTGGGACTCAGGTTGGCCATTGACATGAATGTTCAGGAGCTGCTTGTGATTGGAGATTCCGATCTTTTGGTGCATCAGGTGCAAGGAGAATAGGCTACAAAGAACACCAAAATATTGCCATATTTGCACTGTGTACAAGAGCCGATCAAGAGATTCACAAAGATAGAATTCAAACATGCCTCGAGGGTTCAAAATGAGTTTGCAGATGCATTGGCCATTTTATCTTCCATGATACAACACCCAAATAAGAACTTGATCGATCCTATCCCAATAGGAATTCATAAACAACCAGCTTATTGTGCTCATGTTGAAGAAGAAAGTGATGGAAATCCATATTTCCACGACATTAAGGAATACTTGGAAAAGGGAGAGTATCCAGAGCACGCAACTCATACTCATTAGCGCACACTCCGAAGGTTAGCCAAACATTTCTTTCAAAGCGGAGGAATTCTGTACAGAAGGAATCCAGACCTGGGATTATTACAGTGTGTTGATGCCAAGGAGGCATCCAGATTGCTCGAGGAAATACATGCCGGAACTTGCGGACCACACATGAATGGCCTCGTCTTAGCCAAGAATATACTCAGAGCGGGATATTTCTGGATAACTATGGAAACAGACCGCATCAAGTATGTTCAGAAGTGTCACCAATGCCAGATACATGCTGATATGATACGAGCACCACCAAATGAACTCAATGCAACAAGTGCATCCTGGCCTTTCTCCGCTTTGGGTATGGATGTCATCGGTCCAATCGAACCCACTGTTTCAAATGGGCATAGGTTCGTTCTGGTAGCCATAGACTATTTCACAAAAATGGGTCGAGGTCGCATCTTACAAAGCGGTAACTAAGAAGGTCGTCGTATACTTTGTTCGGGATCACATTGTTTGTCGGTTCGGAGTGCCAGAGTCAATCATCACCGACAATGCCGCCAATCTCAACAGTGATCTAATGAAGGCCATGTGTGAAACTTTCAAGATCAAGCATAAAAATTTCACAGCATACAAACCGCAAATGAATGGAGCTGTAGAGGCCGCCAACAAGAACATCAAGAAGATACTAAGAAAAATGGTAGATAATTACAAACAATGGCATGAGAAACTACCATTTGCTCTGCTCGGGTATCGTAACACGGTCGCACATCAATTGGGGCAACTCCTTACCTACTGGTTTATGGAACTGAAGTCGTTATTCCTGCCGAAGTAGAAATCCCTTCTCTAAGAATCATACAAAAAGTTGATCTCAGCGACGCAAAATGGGTACAGAGCCGCTATGAACAATTGGCTCTCATTGATGGAAAAAGAATGAATGCGGTATGCCACGGTCAACTCTACCAGAACAGAATGGCAAGAGCTTTCAACAAAAAGGTCAGACCAAGGCAATTCACACCGGGGCAGTTGGTGCTAAATAGAAATTTTCCTACATCAAGATGAAGCCATGGGGAAGTTTTCACCTAACTGGCAATGTCCCTACATAGTTCATCGAGTACTAACAGGAGGAGCACTCATACTTGCAAAAATGGACGGAGAGATTTGGCCAAAACCTATCAACTTAGACGCAGTCAAGAGATACCATGCTTAGGCTTGTTTACATTTCTTTACTTGATGTACCTAAACTACGCTTGACCTGATTCCTGTTTAAGAGGGGATACGTAGGCAACCCATTGGGTTCGGTCATATCTTAATAAAATCTATATTTTCCCCATGATCGAAAATTGGGGGCAAGGTTGCAAGTTCAACCAACTTCGTCATATGTGGAACAGCCAAAAGTATTGCATTTAAACTAGGGCAGAATTTGAGGGGGCCCCTCAAAATTCTAAGGCAAGGAGGTTGCAATGTCTTAAACATATGTCATAGTCACTGGTTCATCTAAATTATTTGAAATCACACACCAATACATTTCAAATAACTATATTTTGCAAACAATTTATTAAGTGCACGCATAATTTTCGAAAAAACTTTATTTCTATGACAGCCAGACGTTGCCCAAGGTAACTCAAACAGGATCTCAAGACATGATTTAAGACAGAGCAAGAAGACAAAAGCACGAACCAACCTTCCCCCTCACGATATTTCTTTGGATGCAGGCACGATAAGACAACAATATCCGCAGATACATCAAATCACTACTTTCATGATGACAAGTTACCGAGCGTAAACATCTCCAGCTAAGAAATACTTTACTTTATCACTGTCACTCGTCGTTTTCTTGCATAAGGCTAAGCATTGCCTTTCCTTGCATGAGACTAAGCATTTTCTTCTCTCCTTGTATGAGGCTAAGCATTGCCTCCCTAATTGCATAAGGCTAAGCACTGCCTTTCCCTGTATGATACTAAGCATCGTCTCCTCTTCTTGCATGAGGCTAAGCATTTGCCTCCCTAATTGCATAGGGCTAAGCATCGCCTTTCCTTATATGAGACTAAGCATTGTCTCCTCTTTTTGCATGAGGCTAAGCACTGCCTCCCTAATTGCATAAGGCTAAGCATCGCCTTTCCTTGTATGAGACTAAGTATTGTCTCCTCTTCTTGCATGAGGCTAAGCATTGCCACCCTAATTGCATAAGGCTAAGCATTGCCTTTCCCTACATGAGACTAAGCATTGTCTCCTCTTCTTGCATGAGGTTAAGCACTGGCTCCCTAATTGCATAAGGCTAAGCACCGCCTTTCCTTGCAAGAGACTAAGCATTGTCTCCTCTTCTTGCATGAGGCTAAGCATTCCTCCCTAATTGCATAGGGCTAAGTATTGCCTTTCCTTGCATGAGACTAAGTACTATCTCCACTATGCTACCTAAGACCTAGCGCTATCTCTTTATTCGCCTCGGGCCAAGCACTGCCCTCATCTCACACAAGACTAAGCCTTGTCTTGTCTCGCCCTCGCGTATAACCAAGCATCATATCTTTGCATTTCATAGGCTGAAACATCACCACATTGTCCAAAGGCATCATAGTCCGAAGGCATCATCCTCATAGCTGGGAGACACCATTCTATGGCTTGAGGATCTCTCAAAATTGCATATCATTATTCAAAGGCGTCATAGTCCAGAGTCACCATCCTCATGGCCCGAGGACACCATTTCACGGCCTGAGGATCTCTCAAAATTGCACATCATTATTCAAAGGCGTCATAGTCCTGCGAATCCCTTATCATACGCTTCATGGCCCAGGACGTCATGGTCGAAGGACATCATCCTCGCCGTCCAAAGACAACTTTCATGGTCCAAAGGGAATTTGCATCGCATTTAAATTCTCGCAATAACCCATATATATATATATATATGTGCGCATGCACCGTGTTTTAAGTTTTGCATGCAACTCGGGAGGTAACCGTTCTACAAACATGATCAATCTTCGCTCCGGTTTCCGTTCGCAACGCTCACATCCTTCAATTGTTTCAAATGTAACCGACTACCAGCAATTGCCCACCTTTTGCTCTATGACCGTTCAGATATTTGCTCTCTGGTACATCCATAACATTTCAAATTCACATTCATAACTCCGCATAAATTAATCCAATAGTATCCTATCCAAAAGAACCCTTTCCGAAACATATGACCATTCATATAACAACTCCATCGGTTTCGTTCACCGTTAGCTCTAGAACTACACACGACTTGATTCCCGTAGCACCAGGGATATGGAGGCAACTCAGGAACCAGGGTTCAGCCCCTATTTTTTCGAATCGCATCATTCCTCACTCAATTCGGCCAAAATTGGTCATTATTTTCTTTACACGAATAACTCTTTCAACATTCCCGGGTAAAGAGGGGCAGTTGTTGATACCCAATTTTGCCCTCATATTTTCTCAAATAGTATATATACTTTCAAAAAATTATTTTGCATCATTATTTAGCTTACAAAATCTACACAAGCATTTTTCGATTATTTTTCATAATTTTAGAGCTTTAAAATTGATTTTCTTGCATTTAAATTACTTGAATATTTATTAATTACTCCTTTCAATTATTTTGTGATGACTTAATTACCTAAAAATTTTATTTGCATCTATAATACATGTTTCAAAAATTTTACTTTATTTTATATAATTACATTAGTATTTTTAAGCTATTTGCATAGTCTTGCAATAATAGCCTATATTTTACAATTTTATTACATTTGTCATTTTATTCAAGGTCAAAATAATATCTTACATTTTTGTAATCTTTTAATATTGTTTTAAAGTATTAATTTGCATAAATAGCATTTTTATATTTTAATTAAGTGTTTTTATTAAATTATTTTCCCTTAATTTGCTATTTTAAAATCTGGCCCAAAATTAGGATTAATTTCGGACAAATTAAGGTCCAAATGAACCCCTGGCCCAATAACCTCAGTAGCCCAACCAAACGACCCTTTACAAATTCGGGCACAACCTGTTTATATTGACGCGCCCCACCTTCCTCTTAATCTTGGTCGTTGATCTCAAATGATCAATGGCCCGAATTAAAAACCCCACTCTCCTTATATCCCCATAACCCCAAACCTTAGAGACAAATCCCCACCCCGCCGCCTCTGTATTCTCTCATCTCTCCTTCTCCCTCCTTCAGAAACCCTAGCCGCCTCACTCAAATCCCAGCCCCAATTCGATATTACAAGGAAATCATCCATGATTCTTTTTCTTTCTTGCACACACGGAGATACTTACCATCTTTTGAACGTTACAAGTACTGGGTACTTGATTATTTATGGAAGATGAGTCGTTGATGTTCTTTGACTCTGATTCTGTATCATCTTCGTGTTTCTGACCTGATACACGCACTATCAGACACCATGGCTTCGATTCAGTGACATTTTTGCCATTTTTGTTCCTCGTCTAAACTAGGATTTCCTAGATTTATCCTAAAATTGATTCTAATTGATTTTTTGCATGCTATATTTCTTGTGTTTAATCTACTCTATTACCTTATTTTATGTGTTTATCTTTACTACTATATAAATCCCTCCCCATTCCCCTTTGAAATGGACTTTTAATCACTAGATTCACTAAAAATTGAAGCTATTGTTCTATCATTCTCTCATTGTCTTGTTCTATACTTTGGTTCTTGGCCGGCTGAAAGCCAAGGCCACCGAAATTCGATTTTTCAACTTTTCTTGGTGC